AAAGAAAGAAAGAAAGAAAGAAAGAAAGAAAGAAAGAAAGAAAGAAAAACTAGTGCCAAGAACCTCCAGCTCCACTTGGCAAGCTATTAATGAATGATGGTTGCCAGTCTGATTGCAATATTAACAATAATTACCAGAACCATCAATTTCACACTTAACACTGCTCATAGTACACCCATAATAAACACATCCAACACACAGAGGCAGCATTTTTATAGATGGACTTATGAGTCTGGAGGGCGTTAGGACAAGTCATTTATATCACCTAACTAGAGTGACAGATCACAATCAGGCTAAAAATCAGGTTATAAAATACAGAGTCAGATTAGCCTGAAAGCTTTTTTTCAAGGCACAACATAACACTCTCTGGCTTTTGAATATATATATATATATATATATATATATATATATATATATATATATATGAGAGAGAGAGAGAGAGAGAGACAAAATCTTGTTGTATAGCCCAAGCTGGCCTCCAGCTCAAAGTCCTCATGCCTCACAGGCATGTGTGACCAGACCTCAAAATAATGGTCTCTTCAAACTGCATAACAAGAGTATACAGCAAAATCTCTGAAGGCACATGATTTTGCTTCAACCCAAAGGCTAGAAGATGGTTCTGGATGTCCCTATGGGTTTCTAGGGGAAGCAGGTGTACATCTGAACCCCTGCCCAAATCTGCTTTCCACAGGCACACTGATCACATTAAATAAATCCCAGAAAATTCTCTTTCAGTTATATAGTACAAAATTCCTTTAGAGACTTTGATACAACTGAGATCCATAGGGCTGACTTGCTGTTACAGGGGCGGAGCTGAGTGAGCTAAATTATATTTCCCTGGACGTTTCTGACCTTGTTTGTAAAGACACACACACACACACACACACACACACACACACACACACACACACGATTCAAAACAAAGTCTTACATAGAGCCTGGTCCTATCGACCTGGGATGTTTCACACAAACATTTAAAGTCTGATTCCTAGTGACACAAGGTACTTTAATCCACATATCCAAGGCACATGGTGCTGAAGTTTACTATTTAACAAGATAGTGACATGTTCCCTTACCTCTTTATCCAAACATGGACCACACAAGACAGCAATTTCACTGTAACTCTTTTACAAAAGAACTAGTCCCTCTCAGGGATTATTCTCTCTCTGAGAATGTGCCCACTAGGACTGCAACATATTCTTTTCAATAAAGCTCTATGTTCTGGCCTTGTAAATACTATCACTGAGACTTGTAGCTTGTCACCATTGTTCCCAGTACGGCACTATTCATGTAAGTGATTTATTTTGTTTTGTTATTTTGAGACAGGGTAGCCCTGGCTGTGTTGGAACCCACTCTGTAGACCAGGCAGGCTGTCCTCGTGCTCACAGAGACTTGCCTACCTCTGCATCCTCAACGCTGGAATTCAAGGCCTGTGCCATCACTGCCTGGTTCGTGTAAATGATTTTTTTTTTTTTTCTCAGCTCTCTTTCCAAATCTCTCTGAAACCAAGACATCTACACCAGTATCCAAACAGTAACAAAACTACAGGCAGAAGCTCTTAGGAGGTGGTCCGGTTTGACTCTAATGAAAAAGTTCAGACAGTAAAAGTATTTATAGTCTCACTGTGGGTCAGTGTTAGATCAGAATCCATAAGGTTGAGGACAATCAGCGTGCAGTTCGTCGTTTTTTGTTTGTCCTTTTTTTTTTTTTTTTTTTTTTGCCCTTCCGATTATATATGTTTCTACTCCTGCCCATCATCCCAGTAGCTAGAGCTAATTTTTGATGTGCACGTGCCCCGGGAGTATTCTGCCAAGATGGAAGCAGGTGACACTCGGTCCAACACAGACCTTCACCACCCACCTCCACTTCGGGTGGGTAGGTGGCTGCCGCCGGAGACAGCACGAGGACTCCCACCTCCCCGATGACCCCATCCGGTCACCTCGGGTATTCTCCTACCTCGCGCTCATACCCACCGGCGGGCTGGCGAGGAGGCCCGCTTGCATGAGTAGCTGGCATCCGCAGCTTTTACAGCCTCCCGCGCCTCCGTCCCTAGCAACCAGGCGCGCGTCGCTAGGGCGGGAGTTCCAGCTAAAAGCTCCGGGCGCCCACGGCAGCCTCGGAACCAAGGTTCCACATGCCGGAAGTCTCCCTGCGGTCGAGCCAAGAGCGCCTAATTTAACGATCTGTGAAGATATGCCCAGAGGAGGCTTGTGCTGAACTACGCTGTGGCGTGAAGAATATGTATTGTCCAAGAAAAGCGGTGATATCTGTCATAACCACACAGAGAGAACGATTAATACGTGTCATCTTTGCCATTATTATTCGCCCAGAAATGTTATTTGAAATTTCCCTGGACACAGACAGAGAATTTTCCCCGTTGGACATTTCCCCAACACCGTACTCCATTCCTTTCATTTGGCATGTGTGTGTTTATTTTTACTAATTTTAATGAGTTTCAAAAATATGCCTGCCGTCCTTGTGCAAGGACCATGCAAATTTTTTTCTGTATCATTCCATTAAAAAAAAAGAAAAGAGACGGTTTGAGAATAACTTGTTTTACGCGTGAGTGCTTTGTCTGCATGCATGCGTGTGCATCACTTGTGTGCCTGATGCCAGCTGAGGCCTGATCCCACAGAACTGGAGTTACGGATGATTGTGAGCCCCGCCATGGGTACTGGGAACTGTGCCTGGGTCCTCTGCAGTTTCAACAAGTCCTAGCAACTGTTAACTCATCTCTCCAGGGTCTATATTGTCTTAATTTTAACACATGTGCTGCCAAACTGAATACTTTTCACTTTGTCTTTTATCAAACCAGCACTATAAACAAAAAGCCTTCTCACTATTTTATTGAGATCCAACTGGGAAGATACTTAGAGCTAACAGCAGCTACAAAACAGTTCGCAGCCCTAAACTGACACTTGTCTATCTATATTCCTGCGGTACAGTGTGGAGCATATGGAAAGAATGAATAAATGAATGAGTGGATGAGAGCCTAGCCAATGTATCTTTTATACTCTAGGGGCTGCTCCTTGTGAGGATCAGGCATCCTAGTAGAATTATCATTCAATGGAGATTTGTGGAGATTCTGAAAACTGAATGTTTGTGGGTGTAATCTGAGAAGTTTGCCCTCCAAGAATCAGTTTTTGCAGCAAGGTTTCCCTTCTAATCTAGAGAGAGACTGTCCTCTTCAGCATTCCTAGTTATGGCTCTTTAGCCCTTAATGTTCCTTCTGTTGATAATGCACTTACTACTTTCAAAGAAGCCATTTTGGGGAGATATCTTCCTGGCAGGACCTAAGCAAGCTCTATACATCAATTACAAGTCTTTACAAGTTAAGAATTGAGGACTCTTCCTGCATATTTAATTCATTTTTTCATCATCTCATTTTGCACTGGAGCAATGCTGCCATCTAGTCAGGTGACAAAACAAGTAACTTTAATAAATAGGTGGGTTCAGTACATTTTGGAGTTAGTGCATGTAATAGGTGCTTTTCACATTGCTATGACAACATAACTGAGAGGATAGACTTACTAGTTTGTGTTGGAAACTCCAGTAGGTTCAAGTTCAGCTACAAACCAAGTTATTATTAGAGTCCTCCCCCCAAAACATCCACTCTAAAACATAGCATCTTTAAAAACTGCCATAGGCTTCTGGTATCTGATGCTTCCAAACTGGTATCTGCAGTCAGACCTGTTCCTGAACCTCACCTGTATCCCCCACTTCTGCTCATCTGGTGTCTAAAAGACACCTCTTTCTTGACATGACTCAAAGACATCTTATACCTAAACCCATTCTTCTTTTCCTTCTCTAAGTGCTGGGCACTACTGTTAGGAAACGTGCGAGTGTGAAGGTTACACTCGGGTTCACAAATCACGCCACGAGATCGTTTCCACGTGGGAGGTTTATTAGGGGAAGGGGGGAGAAGGGAGCAGAGACAGAGAAAGGAAGAGAGATGGGGAGAGAGAGGAGAAGAGAGAGGAAGAGGAAAGAAGAGAGAGAGGGGGGAGGGTTCCAGTTCTCTTATAGGGTGATCAAGGGCATGCACAGGTAATTCCAGGTGGTCAGGGTGTCTTTACAAATGCCTGATAACCGGTCTATGGGGCTGGCCATAGAAGTGCCTGCTTACTGATCCCAACATTCCTCCCTTTTTCTATAATTAAAAATAGGGATCTTGGGCTGCCTTTTATAAGGTGAGTTAAAGTATATAAATTTAGGCTCACTGGAAGCAGCTCTTGGTTGTCATGCAAGAGGTTGAGAGAGAGAAGAGTTATAGTAACAAAATGGTTAGGTTGCAGGGTTAAGAATAAGAGAAGTCTCTGCCCTGGAAAATTTAGGGCAGAGGGTTGTCAACAGAGAGTTGCCAGCCATGCAAGGCAGCGGGGAAGGACTGGGGAACACTGGGAGAACCTGGAGCTGCTTGTCCTGGTCCTGAAGCACACCACTTCAGCCTTTTGTTAACAAGTGAATAAGGGCGTAGATTCTCTTCTGGCTACTTCCTGCTGACACTGGGGGCAATGTAGGGAGGTCAAAAGGCTGAAGTGTCGACCAAGTCCAGGAAGAATAGGCTGCTTTGATGCTTTTCCAGGTCTGTGAGAACACCCATGGCTGGGAGGGAAGGTGCAGGTCCAGCTTGTTGGAAGTCTGTGAGGTTGGAGCTGAACACCTGTAGCTGCTTTGGCGCTGTTGTGGCTATAGGAAACATCTGTGTCTGGCAGGACACTGAAACACATATATAGGCAAAAGATAAAGTTGAGTATAGAGAAAATCCTGTAGGTATACATTGAACGGTTTGGATCGATGAGGTTTGTACATAGGAACCTCTGTCTACCTGGAGGGACCTTTATTTACCCAGTCACTGGCAATATTTAAAGAAGGCTTTGTTTTTGACTTGTCATTGAGGTGAGGTTTGGTTACAGAAGCATGTAAACTTAGCGGCCCTAATGCCAGCTGGCACTAGGTGTAGAAACCTGAAATTCTCCAGCCTGTCTGGAGGGACGGGCGTCTGGGCGTCTCCCATTGGGGGCAGAGAAGTAGAGGAACCATGTGGGAGAGGGGACCTTCCCATGAGCAAGCAATCGAGCGAGCGCGTGCACGAGCGAGGGGAGGAGGAACCCGTAGAGGGGGTGTACTGCCCAAGGGAGAGTGTGGCCCTAAAGTGAAAGTCAGCATAGAGGGTCAAACCTAGACAATTAAGGCTACGGCTGAGGGGGGGAGGGTCCCCTGTCTCAAAAGATAGTAGGAAGTTGCCAGAGCTCTGTGGTCAAGCTTCCCCTATCAAGAGAGGCATGTATGCTGAGAAAATGGAGTGAACTCACCAATCCAGCCAGTGGTTGTATGCAGTAAATAGCAGTCTGGTAGCCAGGAAAGGAAGTCCCAAAACCAGGGAAAGGGGAGGAGTCTCACCTTTTGAGATAGGCAATAAGTGCAGTACTTATCTGGAGTCTAGTTGTCCTGAGAGGTAGATTTAGGTGGACTTTCTGCAGCTTACAAGAATTACTTTTAAGTTTTAAAAAGGAGATAAAAATTAGACATGTTAGTATTATAATTGTACTCTGCATTGAGAAATAGGCAGTAGACATACATATGTGTTAATGGCATAAGTACTTTTTAAGGTGAACTCTGAAAAGTCAAAAGCCTTTTATGAAATAAAATGGAAACTTACTTGATTTTAACCTTTACACATTATGGAGGCTTGCAATCTTGAGCTTAGGACCATAATAGTGGAATAGTGGTATAGTGGAATGTTTTTGTATCAGAGTTAGATTAATAAATTAGAGTTTTACTGATAAAGGTCAAAACCCTGGACAGTTAATATAACAGTAGCATAACAACAGGAAGAAATATTAAGCCCTTTTGCCTATTTAAGATACCTTAAATCACCTTAGACCTTGTAACCTTTATAACTTGCATTTACCAACCTTAAAACATTTTTTAGAACCTCAAACATTTATAAGTTGAATTATTAAACTTAAGGCACTTTTTAAGACTCTCCAATATGTGCAACTTGTATTTTTATAACCTACACTCCTTTTATCCTTAGACCCTACATAAGCTCTTTATATTTTATCTAGCGATATATCTTAAACTGATTAGTGAGCTAACAGTGGATCTAATTGTCTGCTCTTTAGCTGCAAAGCTACCATTAGCTTAGCCTAGCCGTCAAGGTGATCAGAGACCTGAGAAGGATAAGTTATGAGCTAAATAAATATACTAATCCATGTGCCAATCAAAATGACAGAGATGACTAGTTAGTCCATCACCTAGGCAGTGTCCCTGGCTCCTGTGTCTTACGGCATCCTGAACAGAGGCTGTCCAGCCAGGCACAGAAGGTGAGAGACTGCTTCTATTGCTTCTGTGGAAAGAGGAACAGAAGAGATTGACCTCACCTTGCCTCTCACAATGTGAGACAATGGCTCTTCAGATGTCCCCGGCTTTGTCCACAGTTTAGGCTGGGCCCTAGCAGTGGGCCAGTTGGGGCAGTATTGTCCAGTGGTTAGCATACCACAATCCAGAGTCGTAGTCACCATCGATCACCCAAGCCACAGACCTGGAATCATTTGTAACTTCTCCACAAGAACAATCCCTCACCTAAGATTTTCCAATTCTGCTTTCTAAATATCCTCATTTCTCTCTAGCCACAGCTTGTTTCAGGCCAACACCATCCAGGGTGTGATAGGTTAAAAATAACCATAAATTCATTGTTAATTCTTCCGTTAGGGCTGACATAAAATTTTTCTCATTTGAACGGAGCAAAAGTAACATTTCAGAAAGTCTGGATTTAAGCCTCAAAGGGACTCAGTTTCTCCTCTCACCTTTTTTAACCACTGCCATTACAGTAGGAAATCCTAGCCAGCTCACCTGAGAGACACAGCTAGCACCAAATAGTAAGCATATAAGTGAGTCTCTTTTATACTATCCAGGCCTCAATAAGCTACCACATGGTAGAAACCACAAAAAGAGTCATCAGAAAAATAGTCCAGGTGAGCCAACTGATATTTGCTAATCTTCCAAACTATGAGCAAATAAGCAATCGCCACTTTAAGCCTTTAAGCTTTTCAGCGGTTTGTTATGCCCAATAAACAATGAATATCCAATGTGAAGTCCAAATTCTTCATCAGGTCTCTTAAGCTTTGTATACATCTTTTTATCCTCTCTGTATCTGCATGCCCACACTACCGGATTCAACACTATAAGCTGCTGAAGTTAGCTGTTATCTTGGGGTCTTTGCACACCATCTTTACATGATGTGACAGTATCTAGGATCATGGAAAACACAAACCTCTGGGCATACCTGTGATAGGTCACTGAGGTGGATTTCTTGGTAGATCAATTCCAGTCTGGGCTCCTGGAGTGAAGACAAAGGAGAAAGCAGGCTGAGTCTCAGTGTCCGTCACTGTTTCTTGACTGTGGGTGGAGCCTGACCAGCTTACTTCTGCAGCCACGCCATCCCTGCCATGATAAACCATAGTACTTAGTTTCCTGCTGCTGCGGTAAACAGCGTGAATAAAAGCAACTTGGGGAGCAAAGGATTTATTTCAGCCTACACTTGTAGTCCATTGAGAAGGGAAGTCAGGGTGCAGAAACTCTAGGAGGGAACCTGAAGGCTGGAACGGAAGCAGAGGCCATGAAGGGACGGTGCTTCCTGGCTTGTTCCCTATGGCTCACCCAGGCTGCTTTCTTATAAATGCAGCATCACCCATAGTAGGTCAGGTCCTCTCATATCAATCATTAATTCAAAAAATTCTCCACAGGCTTGCCTACAGGCCAATGAGGACAATCTCTCAATTGAAGGTTCCTCTTCCTGGATGAGCCTAGTTTATGTCAAGCTGACAAAAAATCTAACCATCATGTACCTTATATTCCTTTAGCTGTTTCTTTCTTACTTTGATTTTTCAAGACAGGGTTTCTCTGTGTAGCCTTGGCTGTCCTGGACTTGCTTTGTAGACCAGGCTGGCCTCTGCCTCTGCCTCCCCGAGTGCTGGGATTATAGGTGTGCACCACCTCGCCCGGCTAATTCTTTGTTTCTTAAGTTGCTTTTGTCAAGTATTTTGTCCCTACAACATATAAAGCAACGAATCCGCATCCCTTTATGCATGTGTATCCTCATCTTAGAGACCACCTTCCTGTCTGCTTCCTCACTGTTTGAGTCCTTCTCCTCTTGCGGACCAGGCGAGTGATTCTACCTGTGCTTTCAAAACTCTTGTACTTTCCTATAGTGAAGTGGTTTTTTTTTTTTTTTTTCGCCTTCTTTCTTTTTGTTTTTATTTTTTGAGGCAGGGTCTCACTATGGAGCCTTGGCTAGTCTGGAACTTGCTATGTAGACCAGGTTGGCCTTGAACTCACAGGGATCTATCTATTGCTGTCTTCTGAGTGCTGGGGTTAAGGACAAACACCAACCATGCCCTGCTCTTAAAAAAATTTTTTTAAGCAGTATCTCATGTATCTGTCCTCAACCCTTTGACCCTCCTACCTCCACCTGCTGAGTGCTGAGATTACGGAAATGTACTAGCACATCTGGTTTTATGTGGTGCTGTGGATGGAACCCAAGACTTCAGACATGCTAGGTAAGCGCACTACAAACCAAGCTGTTTCCAGACACTTGATAAGGACTTAAGGTTTACTATGTTTTAAGATTTATTTTACCTTATACATATGAGTGTTTAGCCTGCACACATATGTGCCAGTTGGCTCTCCCGGAGCTGGGGTTACAGATAGTTACCAGCCGCCAGGTAGGTGCTGGGAACTGAACCAAAGTCCTCTGCCAGAGCAACAAGTACTCTTAACCTCTGAGCCGTCTCTGCAGCCTTATTTGCTGAGCATTGTAATAAAAGAGTGAAAGATGAAGAGTCTTGGAGAGATTTAGAATATGCTAGAATGCTGTAAGTGTAATAAGCAGCATGACCTCACGCACAGTTTGCAAAAGCCCTCATTTCTTATCCGCTCCACTGCCGGTGCCTATAGCTCCATCTTTACCCTTCTATAGAGACAATCATGGCCCTTGGTTCTTTATCGCCTGAGTTGCCTTGCTCTTCCTTGGCCCCTGCAATTTGGTCATGCCCCTCCTATCAAGTCATAAAAATCCTCTAGGGAGGAGCTCTGGACTCATCTGGTGTGCCCCAAGTCGAGAGGCCTCTTTCCCTCTGGGACCTACGTGTCTGTGTTGGCACTGGCAGGCTGCCAAGCCCTCTTAAAGGTGACGGTTGAAGCTGCTTGTTCTGTGAAAACATCGCAGGAAGAAATGAAGGCATGATGTTGACAACCTTGCTGTTCCTCCTGGAATCGGTGTAGACCGAAGTTGGATGACTTCCAGCCGGGCAGCAGCTACTCTGGATCTGGAGCAGTGAGGAGGAATGGGTGCAGAGCCTAGCCAGGCAGATAGTGAGGGCTGGGTCTGTCACTGGGGAGTACAGAGGCTGAGGAAGGAGTGTTCTGTCTAAAATACTTTCTAAAATGTTTACTAAGAACAAGCTTACTGGCACGGGGTACAGCTCAGTGGCAGAGTAAGCCTGAGGTGCTCAAGACCTTAGTTCAGTCCTTAGCACCGAAACAAAATGTCATGAACGGAAGTGAAGGGGTGGGTGATAGAGCAGAATGTACACAAAATCCTAGTTTGTAAAATCAGTGCTCCTTCCTGGGATGGGCTAAGAGTCCCTTTCTGCAGCTCCTTCCTGGGATGGGCTAAGAGTCCCTTACTACACTGCATTTGTTGTAGCTTTTTGCACATGTAAATTACATGAAGTTCATTGCTAAGAGGAGGAAGATGTCATAAAAGTCTTGCACTGAGCATGATGGTGCATGCCTGTAATCCCAGCTTCTTAGAGGCAGAGCGGAAGGATCATAAGTTTAAGGCTAGCCAGGGATAGTGTTTTGTTTTATTTCATTTTGTAGGTTTTTGTTTGTTTGTTTGTTTGTTTGTTTGTTTTTTGAGACAGGGTTTTTCTGTGTAGCCCTGGCTGTCCTGAAATTCATTCTGTAGAACAGGCTGACCTCAAATTCAGAGATCCACCTGCCTCTCTTCCTGAGTGTTGGAATTAAGAACCTGTGCCATTACCACTTGTTTTTGTTTGTTTGTTTGTTTTAAGGGACTGAGGATGTAGCTTAGTGATAGAGCATTTGTCTAGCATGTGTGAGGCTCTTAGTTCAGTCTCTGGTACTGAAAAAAAAAATTTTAAATAGGAAAATTTTTATTATTTGTGCTGGGCCCCAAAACCAACTTCTCCCAAGTGTTCTCCTGGCTTCCTTTTCCCAGAGTCTTCCTAGGTCATCCCTTCTAAACCAGCACCACCGTAGGCTCAGGTTCCTCCAGTTCAAGCTCACTGTCAAGCCAAGGGAGTCTCAGAAATAAAAGAATTCTTTAAGCAATTATAGATGCCAGCCCACAAAAGTAGCAGATTTGGGATAAGGCCCCACAACCACCATCAGTAGAACTTGGTGACAGTTAGACAATCTCCTGGACATAGTAGCTAAGAGCACTTTTTTAATGATGAAAACTTGGAGGACATAAGTTGTTTATATTGACTCTATGTTTTTGTTTTTGGCCTAGAGTTTGTAAAGTAATCAACCTTGTCATCTCTCCTCCTCTTTGTTTTCCAATATTTGAAATTAAATTGAGGTCACTTTTTCTTTGTATTAATTATATAATGTTTATTTGATTGAGATAGGGTCTTGCTAGTTTGTTCATAGTGGATTTGACCCACCCTATGGATCAGACAGGCCTTGAACTTGGAATCCTCCTGTCTCAGTATTCCAAATAACTGACCTCATGGACCTGTGCCACCAGGGGAACTTTGAATCTTTTTCATAACTCTTATCACTGCTAACACTATATTTTATTTGTTGTGGATATGATTTCATTCCTCTTGACGGTTGGAGCTCCAGGGTCTTAAACAGGCAGATATGTAGGCAGTTACTCCATAAATCTGTTGAACGACTATAATGTGACAATGGTATCCTTTCTTCTCTGGTTCTACAGGATTTCCTGCTTCTATAAGCCCTCAAGTTTAAGCACCACCCTCCTTGAGCCCACTGAGGACCCGGAAATCTATGTGACTAAGCAGTTTTCAATGTTTTTTTTAAATTATCACCCACAGAAAGGAACGGGTAACCACTTCTTACATACAGCCTAACGATCAGATTACTATACATTTATTTATGTAATCTAATTGGTTGTTTTTTTTTTATTAACAATTCTAGAAGTAGACAAAATCTCATTCTATAAAATGGATGGGCTGAGTGGATGAGGTTTGCTTTGGGGATTACAGAGAGCAGAAGTAAAATCATTTCAGAGTTTCTTTCCTGGTGGAGTCAAAACAGAGGGGAATTCCTAGTTACTTGAGCTAAATCTGGTTTGTTTGGGTTAATAATCCCTTTCTTTCTGTAACATAATCTCCTTTTGCCCTTGTCTCGTTTTCTGGGAAGTTCCAGACAAGCAAGGTGTGATGAGTTAGTTTCAGTTTGATAGTGAACTTGAGTTTGGGTGACTCCATTTTGTCTTCTGTTTGGGTCTGTCGGGGCCTGTGTGGGAGATAGTATGGAATGACAGTCTCTCACAAACACAGCTGAAAAACTACAAACCTTACTCTGCCCATTATCTCTCTCTTCCTCCTTCCTTCTTCCTTGACTTGATAACCCTGCCTAATAAGAATGGTCACTGTGTGGAGCACAGCTTAGTTCAGACGGCTTGTTCGCATCCTAATCATGGGGTGACTGCTAAAAACACAGATTCTTGCTTCTTCCACAGACTTAGCGAATCATATCTTAGTAGAAAATCCCACCACGGCCATTTCCTACCACCCTCTCCCCCTGTGAATCTGAAGCTGGCCAAAGCATCAAAGCCACAGCCTGGGAATTTCTGAGTGTGGCAGGGCTGGTGTCCTACAGGGCCTGCAGTATTTCCAGTGGAGGGAGGGTGATTTGCAGCTTCTCCATCTCTTCCCTGTACAAGAGCAATCACCCAAGGCTTCTCACTTCTGCCTCCTGTTTATCCTAAAAAAACAGAAGTCTGTCTCTTTCTCTCTAGGCATGACCTTAGTTCAGGCCAACATCATCCTCAGAAGGTTTGTGTGGTTTTCCTTATGGCTGGCAGTGGGACAGATGAACCAGCTTTTTAACCCAAAATCCACTCTCCAGTTAGCAGCACTCTGCCTGTGCTAGTCCCTCTGTCTGGAAGAGTCTTAGGTGTCTTGCCTGCAGCTTTTTTTTTTTTTTAATGATTTATTTGTTTGTTTTATGTAGATGAGTGCATACCAGCAGAGGACAACAGACACCAGATCCCTGAATGGTTATGAGCCTCCACTTGGTTGCTGGGAATTGAACTCAGGACCCCTGTAAGACTTGATAGTGCTCTTAACTGCTGAGCCATCTCTCTAGCACGTTGCCTGTACCTTTGTAGGGTCCTTTTCAAGGGCACTCCTAATGAAGGTGTCTGGCTTCCTTCAAGGACCTTATGGAGTATCTTTCTCCGTTCCCCACAGCTTTTTTTGAACAACAATAACAAAATCTAACTACAATTCTCATTTACGTTTCTCCATCTCTACTTCAGAGCAGGATGAATGCTGTTTTGAGGCACCTCCTCTGCAATGCACAGGACCACTTTTTAAAAAAGGAACTTTTACTTATTTCTTTTTAAGATTTATTTTTTTAATTTTGTGTTTTCACATGGGTACAGGTGATTGTGGAGGTCACTGGATCCTCTAGAGCTAGAGTTATAGGTGATTGTGTGACCAGAACTCAGATCCTCTGCAAGAGCAGAACTCACTCTCAACCACTGAACCATCTCTCTAGCCCACTAAACTTTTTTTTTTATGCCAGGACCACAGCACCCATCATTATATGGTGACCTGATATAATTTGTGTTACAGTAATGATTAATATATGTTATGTAATGAATCTGCTATAAACGAGGTATATTGTGGAAAGGGGGGAGAGAGAGAGGAGGGCACCCATGACAGAGAGAGAGAGAAAGAAAGAGAGGAACAGGTGGAGGGTAAGTCGTTTTACTGGTGGCATGCCTGGCAGTGGCAGCAGATAATGACATCAGAGGAGGCTAGGTCCCTGAAGGCAGGCTAGTGGGGCCTCCTGTAAGCTATCATCCCTCCCTTTTTGTTTAATAATAAAAAAAAAATGACAGACTTAGGATGGGGTGGTTTTCTTCCACTGTTAGCAGTGCTAAGCTGCTGTGTGCCTAACGCTGTTCATGCTTTTTTGATTTGTTGTAGCCTTTTGTTTTATTTTAAGACTGACTCACTCTGTAGCTCTGGCTGCCTCTAATCACAGAAATGCGGATTTTCTGCCTTTTTAATGCTCAGACTAAAGGCGGGTGCCGCCACTTACATCTTCTGTTTTGATTTTGTGTCTTTGAGACGGGGTTTTACGGCCTCCAACTTTGTGTGTTCAAGAATAACCTTGAATTTCTGATCTTCCCACTCCCACCTCCCAAGCGCTGGGATTACAGATTTGTGCCACCACACCTGACTCGTTTCAAGTGCTTTCATTAATCTACTCACGCAAGTACGTGAAAGAGATCTTCTCAACCCCTTTAACAGTCAGGACCACTGAGGGGCTGGATTTAATTATCTGCCTAAAGCTGCCTCTCAAACCGGCTGTTAAACAATGCACTTAGCAAAACCCTGAAACTGCGTAAGTGCTTACTAAAGTTTTTTGTTTTGTTTTGTTTTACAGGCACTAGAATTTTGGTTGTTAGTTGTTTGTTTTAAAAACTTGGGCCAAGCACAACTTAACCGCTCCAAGAAGCGACGCCTGCTGCTGCAGGAGGGCCCGCCCTCGCGCGCGGGCGCAGCCGGGGAGGGGCGGGGTCAGAGAAGGCGGGGTCTGGGAGGGTGTGGACAAGAGAAGCCACACCCCCGACACCTGCGACAGGTGGAGCGCGCGGCGCGGGGCACTCGGCCATGTCCGCGGACGCCTGCGCGCCGGACTCCGGGCCCAAGGCCGGCTCGGGGCCGGGGCTGGTGCGGGAGCCCGGACGGGGCTCCGAACCGGGCCAGTTGTGTCCGGAGCACGGCGAGCCTCTGAGCGGGTTCTGCCTCTCGGAGCGACGGCCGGTGTGCGCTGTCTGCGCCGGGCTGGGCGGCCGCTGTCACCGGCACCGCGTTCGCCGGGCCGAGGAGCACGCCGAGGAGCTGAGAGTGAGCGGGCATGGGGCCGGGAACTGGGGTGTCTCTCTCTCGGGGCGGGCAAACTAGTAGGGACCAGGGACCAGGGGAGGAGAAGGAGAGCTTCTGTGGCTTTTCTTGCAGAACCAGGTGGTTAAAGGCGTGACCTCTGGAGTAAACTGGATCCAAGTTCGAGTCCTACCCCCTCCCTGTGAGTCACGGAACCTAGCTTGGTGTCTTTCATCAGTAGTTTCGGGGCATTCTTAATACCACGTGTTTGTTACAGCTGACCTCAAAAGAACTCAGTTCCCTCCTCACTCCTTGACCCAGAGCCTCCTCCTCTCCCCTCAGGTTTCCTGGTGAAGGATCTAGTTCCCTTCCAAGCTGGCTATGACTGAAGTTGACGGATGGGGTGGGGAGAATGACTGGACTCTCTCTGTCTCCTAGGGCCTCCTCATCTCCTGGCTCAGCGTGGCTCTAGGCTGCTCAATCTTCCTGTTACACCCCAACCCCCACTCTGTTCCCTGAGCTGCTGAGATTGGAGACCAAGTCACCTTGGTGCCGCCGTCTTCCTTTCATTCTAGCTGTGGCCCCTGAGGAACTCTTTTCAATCTGATAAAACAGCTTAATTCTCCGAGCCCCTCCCTGGCATTGAGCCCTGCTGTGCACTGAGAACTGTCGCTGGGGACATCACTTATTCAAACCAGATTGTAATAAACACACCTTACTGGAAACTGGGGCCAGCAGGGTTCAGTTACTCAGTGATGATGAAAATAAACTCGAGTAAAGTTGATATAAATCAGCTTGCATCATGGGTAAGGATTTCACAAATTCCTCGGGACTTAGATATTTGTCATCTCATTCCATCCCGTCTGGGCTTCTGAAGCATGGGTTCTAACTCGGGTTTTTCAGATGAGGAGAAGGAGGCCCAGAGCAGGATGGTAACTCCTCCCAGACTCCTAATGTTCAGGGCTTAAGAGGGCAGATTCATTGACTGGGCAAGAGGAAACCATTGCTTGACCTCAGTGGTTAGGAAGAGGAAGTGACTTCATGGGAAACCTTGAAAAGTAGCCATCATGCCTAGCTGAGCAGTGGGAGGGGTGAAAGCTGGGCAGCATGGCAGGCTTGCTACTGTGTCCCAGCTGCCTTCTTTGGGCCACCCTAAGACCTTCCACTTATGCCTGGCCTTGGCTTAAGGGAAGTGAATCTTGCCCTCTTTCAACCTTGTACTTTAGAGGTTGTGGTTTTTTGTTTCCCCCCGCCTCCCTCGTTCAACCAGAGCCTCGTGAATTTTAGAGCACCGAGCTACAACCCCCGTCCTAGAGCACACAATGCCTTCAGCACACTTCTCTCCCTCCATCCTGCAGAGAAATTGCCTCTGGAGCATAATCATTAATGACCTGGACAAAATAGGACCAGCTCAACTGCCCTTAGCTTCTGGATTTGTGCCTTTAAGCTAGTTAGAAGTTAGGCTCAAGTTAGGAACCAGCCTAGGTACTCATTATTGGGTGGATGGATAAGAGAAATTTGAACATATTTACATATATAAAAACACTAGAGTGTTATTTCAGAATACAGAATAAAATTATGTGATTGGCAGGAAGATGGGTAGGCACGGAGACAACCACATTAAGTGAAACAAGCCTGATTCAGAAAGACAACTGTCACACACTTTTTTTCTCACACATGGAACCTAAACACAAGCCGTGAAAAGACAGCATGAGTTGGATGTGGTGGCACACTCCTGCACTAGTGAGGCAAAGAGTGGCAAGTATGAGGCCAATTTGGATTTCATAGATCTAGTCTGAGCATGTGGGAGGTAAAGGCAGGTGGATCTCTGAGAGTTCAAGGCCAACCTGATCTACAAAGTAAGTTCTAGGACAGCCAGAGCTACACAGAAAAACTCTGTCTTAATTTTTTTAAAAAAGATTTATTATCTATACAGTGTTTAGCCTGCATGTATACCTATGTGCCTGGCACCAGATCTCATTATAGATGGTTGTAAGCCACCATGTGGCTACTGGGAATTGAACTCAAAACTTTTGGAAGAACAGTCAGTGCTCTTAACCGCTGAGCCATCTCTCCAGCTCTCAAAACATTTCTTAAATAATAAAAAGGAAAAAAAAAAAAAGAGAGAGAGACGTGAAACTTAGAAAAGGGGGGCATTAAAGAAGAGAGGATGAGAGTTGGGAAAGGGAGAAAAGGCATGAAAGGTGGCTGTGATAGAAGGGTCACGGTGGAATGTTCTGTATAATTAGTGCATATCATAAAACATTCAAGAGAAAAGCTCAGCTCAGCCCTCGCAGTCCCCGGGTGTGTGACTCCAGTGGGAAGGAAGGGCTCCTGGAAGAAGCCGCTGGATTGCCTCGTGGCAGGTGGCACTGACATTCTTAGGGGCATGATGGAGGGACCGATGCTTAGAAGAGCTCTAGCTGTTACCTGCTGGAAAGGAGTGGGAAAGTCTGGCTCCAGCCACGTCTCCTAGAGTGAGCCTCTTTACCATCCACCTCAGCTTCCTCATTTCCCTGTTCCTTTATGGTTGATGCCAGTGCCTGTGGGAACTGAGGACTGCTGACTTGCTTGTGGTCAAGGCAATGAGGGTTCCTCATCAGTTAATATTTGTTTAAGGCCTTTATATATAGGAACTTCATTCTAGATGGTAGGTCAGAGGCCAGACAGTGATGATTTTGCTCCAGTAGTAGGGTCACAGAAATATGTATAAAAAGTAAGAGAAATAAAATAAAGCAGGGCAAAGATAGCGCTGAGACAGGTAGAGCATCTCTGAGGAGGTGGCCTATGGGTGGATTGAGGGAGCAAGATAATCAGCAGAGACTGTGGCTGAAGTTAGAAAGAACAATAAGCCTGAGGCCTTGAGACTGGATAAATCTGGTGTTTTTGAAGGGTGGAAAGAAGGTTAATGTGAAGTAGGAGGTAACAAAGAGTTGTGCCAGGTAGGACCTGTTGGCTAAGAGACTTGTTCTCGCTGTGACAATATTGAAAAATCATTGAGAGGTTTTGAGCTGGACTTGGCCTGTACTGATTGCCTCAGGAAAAACGGCTGTGGTAATGGGGAAGTTTGAAGGTTGGCAAAGGAGACCTAACTTGGGAGTTCTCACAGGGTTCCTCTGAGGTGATGACCAACTGGGAAGAATAACAGTGGGAGTAGTGAATGGTGAGGAGAGGAGAGAGAAGGGATGGGTAGTCCCATCAAGACCCAAGTGCCTTTTGGGTTTTTTTGTGGGGGGAGGAGTTCTGGGGGGTGTTTGAGACAGGGTTTCACTGTGTAGCCCTGGCTATCCTGAAACCTACTCTGTAGACCAGGCTGGCCTCAAACTCACAGAGATCCACTTGCCTCTGCCTCCCACCCCGCGTGCTGGGATTGAAGGTGTGTGCCACCAGTGCCCAGCTAAGACCCCAAATGAATTACTGGAATGGGGAGTCCAGCATTAGTGAGCTAGAAGAAAAGACAAGATTAGGCATATACGGGACATAAAGTTTTGGGGGTAGTATCATTTTTGATAATGATGATATCTGGCTTGGACCTTAGGAGTGGGTGGTTAAGGGTGGAACATAAGAGAGAAGTCATACAATGAGTGAGTGGCCCGTGTGCTTGAATAAAGACATGATAAGGTCATTTGTGTTGCAGAACAAGATTGTGGACCAGTGTGAGAGGCTGCAGCTACAGAGTGCTGGCATCACTAAGTATATGGCGGAGGTCCTGCAAGGAAAGAGCCAGAAAGCAGCGGTAATTCTCTCTCCTTTCTGCACTGCGTCCTCCTAGGATCAGAGCTTAGCCCAGGTCTAAGCTGAGATCCCTGACTTACAACCTCTTGGTGCTACTGGAGGAGCCGGCTGACTGTCTCCTTCACTACACAGATACAGACTAGAAAGCAGCGTTTTTGGTAACTTTGGGTCAGAAGGTCAGAAAGACTAGTACTTTTCCTTCAGCAAAAATTTTAGATGTATTTATTTTATGTCTTATTTTTTGCTTGCATGCATGTATGTGTGCCATCTGATGTGTGCCTGGCACTCGCAGAGATCAGAAGGGGGCATTGGGTCGCTTAGAACTGGAGTTATAGACTGTTGTGTGCCACCATGTGGGTGCTGGGAAATGAACCCAGGTCCTCTGCAAGAGCAACAAGTAGTCTTAACCACTAAGCCATCTCTTTAGCCCCAACACTTATATATCTTTTACTATGGAATTATTTTGTGCCCATCCCTAGAATTATGAAAATCCTTGGGTGTTCTTACATGGTTTACTCATTTTTTTAACCAGCCTGAAGCATTGAACCCAGCCAGGGTCAGGTACATGCTAGGCAAATGCTCTGCCGTTGGTGTGCATCTCTAGGATGTGTGGAGATCTTATTTTGTTTGGTTGGTTTTCTTTATTGAAACAATGTTTTGTGTAGCTTAGGTAGGCCTCAGACTTGCTGTATAGCCAAGGACTGATCCTCCTACTTCTGTCTCTGGAGTGTGAAGATTACAGGCAAGGGCCTCCATGCCAGGACTCTTTGAAGTACTCTTATGACAACTTCAGGCAGTAGGTGGCACTGAGCATCCCTATGTGAAGATGGGGAAATGCGTCTTACAGAAGTTAGTTGACTTGCCCAAGGCCCCACTGCTTCACTGGAGTCAGTTCTGTGTCCTGGAGCCTCTGACTCTCAGGTCGCTGCTGCTGCTACGTCATGCTGCTGATCTGTCTTTTTTATTTTTATTTTTAACTTTTTGTCCTATTGCACTGTCTAAACCTTCAGTACAATATAGACTAGATGCTACAGTATCGGATCCTGACTTTAAGTGGAAGACTTCCAACATTTCTCTGTTTCTTTAGCACATTCTTACTGAGCACTTCCATTTAACAGGCGCCATTGGCCTGTGTGCTAAGCATTTTGTAGTGACTGAAACATGAAAATGTTGTTTTCATGAATGCTACATTTTATCAAGAGAGATGGACAAGAAAGAATCCGATGTATGTTATGTCAGAGGGTGACACGTTCTTTGAAGGAGAGGGAAATAGAAGGGGGACAGCATGTCTGAGGACAGGGCTTCAGTTAGTCATGCTGTGGTAAGGAATGTTCTCATTAGGAAAGGTTGGCATGGGGGCTGGAGAGATGGCTCAGAGGTTAAGAGCGTTGGCAGTTCTTCCAGAGGCCCTGACTTCATTTCCCAGCAATCATATAGTGGCTCATAACCACCATATAATGATATCTAGTGCCCTCTTCTGGTGTGCAGGTACCGGTACATGCAGACAAAGCATTGTATACATAATAAATAAAATGTTAAAAAGAGAGAAAGGTTGATATGTAGGGCTGGCGAGATGGCTTAGCAGGTAAACTGCTTGCTGCAAAAGGCCAGTGAGCTGAGTTTGTCCTCTGGGACCCACATAAAGCTAGAGCAAGAGAGCCAATCCCATAAAGTTGTCTTTCACCTGCACATGTACCCCACGGTGCGCACACGGCACATACATGCGTGCAGGCACACACAGCACACAAGAAAAGAAGGTTTGTGTTTGCTCAGAAACGTAAGGTGTGAACTAATGAACCACACACCTGAGAGAAGAGTGTGCAGAGAGGTTAGCGAGTACAAAAGCCTGGCAGAGGAGTAGAGTCACGGGAGGCTGAAGCAGCCTAAGAACAGATAAGGCAGCAACAAGAGGTAAAATCAGAGAGGCCAGAGGTTTGGGGAGAAACGGCTCGGAGAAGGAAAAGATTCAGGGATTCAGGGAGAAGTTGGGTCTCATCCTCTTGATCACAGAGATTCAAAGAGAAGCCACTGAAAAGCTTTTTTTTTTTTTTTTTTTTTAACAGAGTAAGGTGAAAAGCTTAAGTTTAGGAGCTACAGGGTAGCTCAGTAGTAAGAGCATTTCCTGCTCTTCCAGAGAACCTGACTTTGAGTTTGGTTAGTACCTGCTTTGGGTAGCTCACAACTGCACTTAACTCTGACTCCCAGAGATCCAATGTGCATGTGGCATACACACACACACACACACACACACACACACACACACACACACACGCACACTGGGGTTGGAGGGCAAAAAGACTGAGTTGTCTTACAACTATGGTAGGAAGTGAGTGCAGGCAGCAAAAGTGGAGGCCAGGAGACCAGATGGGAAGTGCGTTTATAATAATGCAGGAGAATCTGTGTGTTTCAGATGCAGGTGAGTTTCTTTGCTATTCTTTGAGCTGTTCTCTCCTCCACACTGGGTAGAACATGGGTCTTGGTTTCTTGTGTAAAACAGGGATGACTACTCCCCGCACTATACAAGGCAGGTCTTCAGGAACAGGGCCCAGGGAAGCAACTGGCTGTCCTTGGCCTGGAAGGAGGCAGGTCTACTCTGACTCATCTGGCAAGAGTCGAAGTGGAGGTGCGCTGTGCGGCACAGGGGAATAGTGCTAGACTGACAGCCAGGAGAACGGCTCACTGTGTCAGAGCTGGCGAGAGGTTTCCCCACTCAGTCACTGAGTCCACATTTGGAGGTTCCCACTGCATGGCAGACCCTGAGCACTGGGAGTGAGGAGATCATGCTCATTACCGTCCTTGTCTGAGGGTTTTCCTCGGAGCTCCTCTAGGGAAGGTAAATCTCTACTTTGGAACCAGCTGGAATGAACAAGCCTTGGAGGTAAGAAGATTTTGACCTTGGGGCAGAGTGAAATTTTAAGTAGAGCCTGGTTGGTATTGGTCTAGTTGATGAGAATGACTCTTTAAGGCCCTTCTGCCCTGTGATCACTGTAATCCCCTCCCTTTGTCTCTTGGCCACCATGTTTCCGACTGTGGAATAAGCAGGCAATTCTAATTGCTCTCTAAGCCTCCTATACTGTGGCCGTGACCTTCTGAGACATGGCATGGGCATTTGGATCTCAGGTTTTTCTCTCTCTTAAACCGCTTTTGGGAAATCTAAATGCTGGGATGTCAAAATAACTGGCTCGAGTGCCTTTATTCTCCTTACTCTGCCCATGGCCAACATTGTCAATCAATATTGGCATTGTTTCCACTAAGCCACAACTCTCCTGCTTGTGACTGGAACTGTGCCAGGACCTGACTCCTCATTTTACCTCTTGCCAGAGCATGGCCAGTGCAGCGAGGGAACTGGTCATCCAGAGGTTGAGTCTGGTGAGGAGCCTGTGTGAGAGTGAGGAACAGCGGCTACTGGAGCAGGTACATGATGAAGAAGAGCGGGCCCACCAGAGTATCCTGACTCAGCAGGCACACTGGACTGAGGCTCTGCAGAAGCTGGACACCCTCCGCACCAGCCTGGTGGGCATGCTGACCCATCTGGATGACCTGCAGCTGCTTGTAAGTCAGGAGAGGGTGAGGCACTCGAGGTTGGCCAGGGGGCCTCACATTTGGAGGCCTAGAGAATGTCTGGGCCTTTGGGACAAGGATGAGCGACAATGCTTGCTTTTACCATACTGTGATGCTTCTTCCATGCGGGCCCATCTATGCACCCCCTCGGCAAAGAACCCAGCGAAATCAGCTTGCCAAAAGCCCCTGCTACTGCCATCTGATGACCCTTGGCATTTATCAGATCCACATCTCCCTGAGTGATGTCTGATCACTCTGGCCTGTGTTCAGCAGGAATCCTGTTAGCTGGCTTTTGCCTGGATCCCCCTTCTCATCATTTCTGCTTAGTGGTTTTCTACCCACCCATTCTATCCTGTCCATGGCCATTGATTCCCAAGCTGTATTTAGAGTTGAACCCAGTCTCTTTTTCATTGACTGCAAAATCCCCTTGCAATGATCCCTATATCCATCTTCTTTACTATATTTAAGTAAATATCACTGACTCATTCAAAAAAAACTTTTTTTCGAGACAGGGTTTCTCTGTGTAGCCTTGGCTGTCCTGGACTCACTTTGTAGACCAGACTGGCCTCAAACTCACAGAGATCCTCCTGCCTCTGCCTCCCAAGTGCTGGGATTACAGATATGTGCCACCACGCCCTGATGACTCATTCAATTTTTAATATAAGATGGGAATAAATTATCTGAGTATTTTGGCATTTTATAACAATATACTTTCAATGGTAAGAAAATGCTTATTGAGTGCCTAAATGTTGTGTAGTGGGCAGAGTTATAGGATACAGCTACAATTGCTCCCAGCCTTACCCAAGAGATGAGTACATAAACTTACAAGTAGGATGCGTCACAGTAGTAGAGGACTCCCTTAGAGCCCTGGACACCCTCAAAGCAGTTGCAGTGGATCATAGATAGCTTACTGGCTGACTTAGAAGTAAAAAGAAAAGTACCCAGGTACAGGGATCTAGGGAGGTGGAGAAAGTTCAGCAGTAACCAGGGAGAAGGCTGTGCTTGGCATAGCCAAGGGCACCAATATTAAAAAATACATTCTTGGTATTACCAGACATAAGTGCAATTGATATTCAGTGTGTTGCTTTTCAAAGTACTTTATAGACATGCAGATGCCTCCAGTTTTGAGGCAAAACTGTAGAGCAGAGGAGAATGCAGAACAACCAGGCCAGCCCCCTGCCTTTCAAGTAGGGCAGCCATGGAGACTGCCCTAGATTGTGCGTTCATTCAGCTCCAGCTTCCAGGCAAGGGGACATTCTGTCCCAGCCACTGGGACAGTCACAATAAAAGATACAGAAAGTCAGCAGCCATCTAGGAGCGGGTAGTTTCCATGGCAGGTGGCAGTGGGGATCTGGGTCTGCGGAGGACGGTCCTGAAGTGAAGTGGAGGGTGCCCGGGATGCCTCGGAGTAGGGGCAATGGGCCATGTATGAGCCTGTGGACATGGGAGACAGCAGCCCGGAAAGCTCTGTGCTCGACCTCTGCCGTGGGGTCTGCACCCACACACGGTTGTATGCAGTGAAGTGCGCTGAGGCTGTGTCCACTTGCTGGGTTTGGCTGCCAGCCTGACCTTGTTTTCTTCTCTTGCAGCAGAAGGAGCAGGAGATTTTTGAGAGGTGAGTATGGTCCTGTGATTTGCTCAGGCGGTCACCAAGACCCCCGGACCTTCTTCCCAGGCCATTGTACTCCAGGTGTGTAGCTGAGCAACTTCCTGGGGCCTGGCTCCAAGGTCAGAGGTCATCCCCCTGAACCCCAACCCCGCCATAGCTTCTTTAGATCAATATAGAAAGTCAGCGAAACAATATTATTAGCCAGGGCTTTCCTAAACTTTACCCTACTTCAGCCACGGTCACCCTGGACAAGAATGCTGAGACCCAGAACTGCGGCCTGGATTCACCCGTCCCCTTGTCTCCTTTTCCTAACTTTCTGCAGTAAAAGAATCTTCAAGACTTAAGTCTGCATTGCCACTCAAATTTTCTATCTTCTTCAGTAGTTAAAAAATTTCAGCAGGTCTCTCTGGGAACTAAAAGGTTGAGAGGCCAGGGCCCAAGGAAATGGCCAAGTGGACAGAACTTGCCAGGCAAGGTGATAAGACACCCCACCAGGGTTGTTGCTTGGTGGTGTAGAGCTTCTGCCTAGCTTGTACAAGGTTCTGGGTTCAATTCCCAGCCCTCTCAAAAGAAAAGAAATTGAAAGTTAAAAGCAAGTCCTTATCAACTCTCCAAGTCTCATTTCCCTAGAGATATGGTTGGTTTCAAAGATGTGAATTTTTAAAAATGTATTTATTTATTTAGTTAGTTATTGTGCATATGGGGGGGGTGCATGTGGGTGTGTCATGGCTCATGTGTGAAGGTCAGAGGACAACTTGTGGGAGTTGATTCTCTCCGTGTGCCATGTGGGCACTGGGCACTCCACTCAGGTTGACAAGCTTTATGGCAAGCACCTTTATCCACTGAGTCGGCTCAGCTGTCTGAGATGTGGAATTTCAAATGTGGCTGTGTGTGTATTTACCTGTCTATGCTCGTGTGGAAGCCAGAGGTTGACTTTGAGTGTCTTCCCCTATCTCTCTCTTAATTAATTTTCGGGACAAAAATCCCATGCTGTACCTGACCTTACCACTCCCGCTACATTGGCCAACAAATACCCAGGATCCACTTGTTTCTATTTCCCCAGTGCTGGGGTCACAGATGTGGGCCACCTTTCACATGAGTGATGAGGATTCAAGCTTGGGTCCTCATGCTTGCATGGCTAGCACTTAACCCACTGAGCCACCCTGTCAGCACTGGTGTGTGTGTGTGTGTGTGTGTGTGTGTGTGTGTGTGTGTGTGTGTGTTTTATGCCTCCTTTTAACAATATATATTTAAACAAACACAGATGGGATCATTTTATACCTGTTGTTCTACCTGTTACTAGCCGCTTTAGAAAAAATTTTACATCAGTACATTTAGATATATTTTCCTTCCTGCTGTCTGTCTTCCTTTCTCCCTCCCTTCCTTCTTTCATTTTTTTTATTTTTAAGAAGGGTCTCACTATTTAGTACTGGCTGGCCTTGAACTCCTTGTGTAAACCAGAGTGGCCTCAGACACCAGGTGCGTGCCTGCCTCTGCTGCCACCGCCTGCATGCAGATTATAGGTGTGACCACCACATTTGAGTCACCTCACCCTTTGAAAGTCTGTGAAGTATCCCACAATGAGGGTGTCCGTTCCCACTCCAAACTCTCTCCCTGATAAACATCAATTCTATTAGATTTAGTTGTTCTAGTTTCTGTAGATGAATGTTTTACTCTCTGTGTACCACATGTGTTCCTGGTGCCTGTGAAGGTCAGAGGAGGCCACCAGATCCTCCAAAGCTGGAGTAATGATGGCTGTGAACCACCGTGAGTTCTGAATCAAACCTGGGTCCTCTGCAGGAGCCAGCTCTCCAGCTCACTTTCTCTGAATTCTGTTTTGTTTGTGGTGCTGGGATCCAACTCAGAGCCTGACACATGCGAGGCAAAAGTTTAGTCTTTTGCTTTTGAAACATAATCTCGTGTAGCCCAGGCTAGCCTAGAACTATGGGTCCTTTTCCCTCTGCCTCCCTCGTGCTGAGATTACAGGTTGGAGCCACCCAGTCATTCATTGTAAGTTTGACCTATTCCCCATACAGTTTCCCACACTTCCAGCGGTCTCCTTGTTCTGTTCCTCTCCATCATCATCTTCCTTTACCACAGTCTCTCCTTAGTATGACACAGCTTGACTTTTTAATTTTTAAAAATTAAACTCATCTCTAATTTCTTAACTTTTGAAGTATTTCAAGCCAGTGGCAAAGTTGCAAAAGTGGCCTAATGAGCTTTACTACAGGTCACTTTCTGCCACGGTGGCTCCTACTGTTGCTTTACTGCGTGTATCTCATCTCCCTGGACACAGTGTATGCAGACAACCTTTTTTCTGGCCTATCTTATGATATGTTACAAATAACGTATTTTTTGTGTAAGTACTTCAGTATAGCTCCTAAAAACAAAGACATGTTCCTATGTATCCCCAGTATAAAATTTAGAAAATTAATCATTGGCATAACACCATTCTCTATATAGCCCATATTCAAAGGTTGCCAGTTGTGCCAAAAACTTTTTTTTTTTTGAGACAGGGCTTTTCTGTGTAGCTTTGGCTGTCCTGCACTCACTTTGTAGACCTGGCTGGCCTTGAACTCACAGAGATCCACCTGCCTCTGCCTCCCTGAGTGCTGGAATTACAGGCAGGTGTGCTACTGCATCTGGCTTGCCAAAAACATTCTTAAAATGGTTGTTTTGTTTTCTCATGACTCATATGGTCTTCTTCAAGCTGAAACTGTCCCTTAGTCTTCAAGAGTTCAGACACCGTATAGAGTGTCATTCAGTTTGAGACTGTATCCTCACAGGAATAGATTTAGATTATCCATTTCTGGGGGTGGGGGAGGACATCATAACCCATCACATTGTGGGCTGTGCTGTATCTTGAATGAAGTGGTGGTTATTTCAGGTGTCATCAGCCAGACTCTTTGTTATGAGGTTATATTTTCTCTCTCATAGTTAATGAGCAAACTATGAGAGGCACTCTCTGTGTATGTTCCTTCTTGCCTTCCAGACTTTTATCCTGAGAGTTTGGCATCCATCGTTAGTTTCTGCCTGAGTTGTTAATTTATTTGCTAACTTATTCCCTCTCTTATTTAGAATCAATGCCTGTCACAGATTCTGATTTTATCTGATGCATGGTAACCATCACTGCCATTGTGGTGATTTTGATATTCAAATTGTCCTCCCCCCGCCCTCATTTGACCAGTAGAAATGGGCTTGTCTATTGGACAGGTCCTATCTTCTTTGAGCACTTTCTTACTGTAGCATAAAAAGATGTGGGAGGGCTGTCAAACTGGCTTAGCAGTTAAGAGACCTTTCTCTTCTTGCAGAGGACCTGTGTTTGCTTCCTAGCATCCATATCATTGCTAACAACCCATAATCTGATGTCCTTTTCTGACCTCTTTGGGTACCAGATACACATATGGTACACATACATACATATAAGCAAAACATACATACATATAAAATAAATCTAAAAAGTATTCTTCTTTAAAATACTGTTAAATTTTTATTTATTTTTATTTTATGTGCATTGGTGTTTTGCCTGCATGTATGTCTGTGAGGGTGTCAGATCTTGGAGTTATAGACAGCTGTGAGCTGCCATGTGGGTGGTAGGAATTGAACCCAGGTCCTCTGGAAGGGAAGCTCTTAATGAGCTGTCTCTTCAGTCCCCTAAAAAGTATTCTTAAAAAGGCTATCCCTGGCTTCATTGGGTTTTCCTTGCCCCAGCCCTGGAACCAGTTGTTTCTCCAGGGGTCTTACACTCATACTTATTAGGATAAGATATTTCCAAGCCAAGATGAGGCATTAAGCATTCTCACTGCTTCTGACATGTCATTGTGCCGGGCCCCGGGCCTTCAACCAGAGCTCGGGCATATGTGTAACTTCTTATGCATGATTTGTATCATACCTTCCAATTTCAGCAATGTTTCGCCTTTGCCTGCCCCCCATTTCGTAGTTTTTGCTTACATGAAGAACCCTGGCTCCCAGGCTGGGCCTGTTGGCACATGCATTTAATCCAGCACTTGGGAGGCAAAGGCAGATAGCTCTCTGTGAGTTCAAGGCCAGCCTGGTCCACACAGAGAGTTCCAGGGCTACAGAGAGAGACTTTGTCTCAAAACAAAAACAAAACAAAACAACAAAAAAGCGATAAATAAAAAAATAAGATAAAAAGAACCCTAGCTCCCAGCAAGGCTTTATTCATTTGCTCAGTCCTTCAGCACACACATCGTTGAATTATTGAGTCCATACTTCTTTCCCTGACAAACCTACCAGTAGAATTGAAGATTTGTGTGTAGTGCTTTGTGCTCTAGCTGAGGTTATTCTCTCTCAGGGGCTGTTGTCTAGGTGGAATCCCACTTATCTAATGAGAAATGCCTTTGTTGGCCCTGGTGTTTCCACATCCATGCTGGCTGGGCTCCGCGCTTGCCTAAGAGCGGCAACAAGTCCCCACGGCATAGATGGAATGTTCAGATTCCAGCCAGCCTTTGCTGTATTCGAGCCCCGCTGTACCTGGCCATTCCTTGTGTTCTCTACCATGCAGTAGCTGTACCTGGCCATGCCTTGTGTTCTCTACCATGCGTTAGCTATACCAGGTGGCTCTCTGGTGACTTCCATCCATGTGTGGGCTCGGGTCTGTCTTGAAAGGCAGCTTACTTGCTGGCACTGGCTCCTCCTCGTCTCCACCGGTTAGCTGGGGCTTCTCCGCATAGAACTGCCATGCTTGGAGAGCACAGGCTCTCTCTTGTTCCACCCACAAAGAGCCTTTGTTGCTAGGGCCTGTGGTCAGCATCTGCACTTCCCCATTTCTAAGGCTCTGCTCATCTCCAGCCCGGACAGTCAGCAACAGTCTCTCAGGGACTTTGCAAGCATCAGCCACACATTGCTCAGTGACCCGCCATCTTCAAAATTAGAGGTGGTAGGAAATTTCTTTCTGAGAAGCCAGGTCGGAAGACTGCAGAATGTTGGGATAAATTCCAACTTTTTTTCTCCCTTTGAGAATTCATTTCATGTCAAGGAAAAAAACAGTATCAAATGGTACTTGGGATCCATTCTGAGTTTGTTCTATTTTTTAACAAGGAAATAGGACTTGAGTCCAGCTCCCGTTTTTCTAAGGGCCTTTCATAAAGCTCTGTGCTTGTGTCAGATGCAATAACCACCACCTTCCCATCACAGTGAAGTTTAATCATGTATAGAAACAGTAAACACCGAAGCCAAACAGTTGGGGAAATGGCAACCTGCCCCAAGCCATTCCTCCCTGTAAGTTTTTTGTTTGTTTTTAATACTTATCTGATTTTTGTATATATGTGTGCACCTGTGACTATGTATGTGCACCACACATGTTCAGGGGAGTGAAGATATCAGAAGAGGGCATTGGGTCCCCCAGAACTGAAGTTACAGGTTGTGAGCTGCCATGTGAGTTCTGGGAATTGAACCAGAGTCTTCTATAAGAGCACCAAGTCCTCACGACCACTGAACCGTCTCTCCAGCCCTAGTTTGGTTTTTCTATTTGTGCGGGTGTGTGGTGTCTACATGTATGCTTGCATGTTTTTGTGTGTGTAAATCCATTGTGCATGTGCCATGGTATGCATATGGAGGTCAGGGAACAGTCAGATGCTATTTCTTGCCTTTCTTGCTGTTTCTTGTCTTGTTTGCGACAGGGTCTTTTTGTTGTTAGCCAGGCCTTCAGCAGGCTGGCTGGGCCTTGGGCTTCGGGTCTCCACCTCCCATCTTGCTTAGAAGCACAGGGACTCTAGGTGCATGCTAGCTCTCACACCCAGCTTGACATGGGTTCTGCAGATTCAACCTCTGGCCCACGACTTGCCCTGCAAGTGCCTGACCTGTTGAGTCACCTTCCCCGTTTCCAGGCATTCCCCCTTGCTGACTGAATGTCTCAGTGCTGTATGATCCTCAGGTAGGGGCATTTATGTTTAGGAGCCAAAGACTGGCTGGATCTTTGGACTAAACCAGAGAGACATTTGCTCTTGTAGTGAGTTTTGGAGGAGGTGAGACATTTTCTGGATAGCATAATAGACAGATGCTATCACACAGCAGATCTCTCCTGGAACCTACTCCAGCTCTGCTGTCAGCTTTCTGAGAGCACTCATTAGTCACTTTCAACCTGGAGCGCACTGCCTCCCGCTTGCCCCTCCCGAGATTTACTTATTTTTATCCTGTTTGCATGCTGTATGTGTGTATGTCGGTTGTGTACACATAGGTGCAAGTGTTTACAGAGGTTCTCTGATCCCCTGGAGCTGGAGGAACGGGGTGTATTGGTGCTGAGCTCTCTCCTGCCCCTACTTTTAATAGCAGCCCCAAGAGTGTATTTCCCTATAAGCTGTCTGCTTTGCCAGAATGAAGAGCCCTGGGGGCAACTAGCCACTTTCCCTTCTTGCTAATACAATCCTGTTGTCACTCTACTAGAGGAAGGATTTTGCTTCTGTCTTCCTCCCCTCCCCCATGCAGGTCCAGATGCATTTCCATAACCTTCCTGATTCTCTCTCTCTCTTCTTTTTCCTTGCATAAGGGCCGAGGAAGCAGAGGGCATTTTGGATCCCCAGGAGTCGGACAAATTAAGCTTCAGTGAGAAGTGTGCTTGGAGCCCACTACTGACTCAACTCTGGGCAACGTCAGTTCTCGGGTCTCTCTCAGGTCAGAGCTGCACGAGTCCAGCACTGTCTGCCTGCCTGCCTGTGTGTGTTGGGGCTGCGGGTGCTGCTCGGTCACACTGGGCATTAGTGCATCCTGTGGTGGTAGCCAGTGCTGTTGGAAGCAGGCTGCGCAGTAGGGCCAAGGTCGTGGGCAGAGCTGGGCGGTGGACTAGATCCTTTCCATGTCTAGGCCATTCCCGTTTCTCTGTGGTTAGGGTTAGGGTTAATTATGTTCCTTTAAGTCATGTCTTCATTACATCTTGCCTCTCAGGCAGCTCTTTAGTGTTTATTGGAAACATCAGGTTTCTTTTAAAAGTAGAATGACATCCACCTGGAGGGCATTAGGTCTACAATGAAGCTGCCTGGATTTGCCTCACTCACTCATTTAACAAACATGAGCTGACATGGTTGAGTGAGGCGATGCACACCTGTAGGAAGAGTCTGAGTCCAAGGCCAGTGTGAATAACTATCACCCTATCTGAGACCCTGTCTTAAGAGAACAACAAAACATGGACTGGTGGCAAATGTGGGCCTGGCCCTGTGCTGCATACTGGGGCATCAGAGGTGACCCTGACTGTCTCTCCCAGAATTCGCCTGGGTTGGATGGAAGCTCACCCAGTGGTGATAGTCATATATATATGCATTATATATATATAAGCATTAGCTTGTATGTTCTAGATTCTGGTATCCGCTGGTGCCTGATTTAGCTGTCAGTTGTTTGTTTAGCTAACTTCTGAGAACTGCTAATGTCATGTCCCCTACTTCCCAGGCTCTGCCTTCAGGGTATCAGCTCTGGAAGCCACAGATAGGATCAGCTAGAAAGCAGTATGATATTAGAATACTAAAATACTGGGTCTTCATTTGACCCTACCACCAACTTGGCATGAAAACTTGGGCAACTCGTTTCTCCTTTCTGGCCTTTATTTCTATCAGAGTTTGTAGATGAAGATTTTAGACCAATAACTACCGTTTTCCTGGCTACAGTTACTCAGCAAGTATTATATATGAGGCACTTAACACATACTATCTAATCCCCATGAGTACCTGATAAGTTCTGTAAGTGATAAGTCATATTTGGTTCCTACTTTAAAGACAAAGAAACTAGCCTGGTGTGGTGGCTCATACCTGTAATCCCAGCACTCAGGGAGGCAGAGGCAGGCCAGCCTGGTCTACAAAATGAGTCCAGGACACCAAGAGAAACCCTGTCTCAAAAACAAAACAAAACAAAAAAAAAAAAAACAAAAAACAAAAAAAAAAAAAAAAGAAGAAGAAGAAGCAGCTGAGGCTCAGAGAAAATAAATAGCTTGGCTTGCCTGAGGTCTCAGGGAGTGGCAGGAAAGCTTTGACTACCTCGTGGGACCAGATTAGGAATAGGGTTGGGGAAAGACCCTCGTACAACCTTGAGAACTCTTTCTGGCAGGCACGGAGAAGGTGTTTATTGATGAAAGGACTGTCAGCCCCTTACTGCATATGTCTGAAGATCGAAGGACCCTGACCTTCAGTGCCAAGAAATCCAAGGTCTGCTCAGATGGCCCAGAACGCTTTGACCACTTGCCCAATGCCCTGGCTGCCACCGCCTTCCTGGCTGGCCTCCATGCCTGGATAGTGAAAGTTCAGCACAGTCGCGCCTATAAAGTGGGCGTGGCTTCAGCTCAGCTGTCCCGGAAGGGTTCTGGCAGTGACTGCCGCCTGGGCCACAATGCCTTCTCCTGGGTTTTCTCCCGCTATGATCAAGAGTTCCATTTCTCACACAACGGACAGCACGAGCCTCTGGGGCTGCTTCGGTGCCCAGCACAGGTGGGTATGCTGCTGGACCTGCAGGCAGGAGAGCTGATCTTCTACGAGCCTGCCTCAGGGACGGTGCTTCACATCCACCGCGCTTCCTTCCCTCAGCCGCTCTTCCCAGTCTTTGCTGTGGCTGACCAGATCATCTCCATCATTCACTGACCCTCAGCTACGGTCAGTCCAGATCCACCTCCCCATCACCCTTGCAGGTCAGGCCACGCATCCAGCTAGTGTCCTTTTCTTCAACGATGAGTGCAGTGTTCCCTATGGGCAACTTTTGGAGATGTGGATCTCCTTCAGACTCCTTTTGATGTTGGTGCTGTGGGAGGATTCTGTTGCTCTCTTGGCCTTATTCTCTCAAACCCACCATGCTGTGCCCTTCCAAGGGTCTCATTAACCTGTGCCCCTGGCATCCAGCATGGTGCCTGGTGCCTGGCTAGTGTACAGAGAGGTACAGTGAGGGAGCAGATGGCTGGGTAGGCGGGTGACCAGTGGTGGGCAGATCCTGAAGAAGCACTGCAGCCCTTGGAGGTGCCTCACCGCAGAGAAGCCTGTGGTGAAGCCTCCCTCGCCTCTTAGTTAAGTATTTCTTGGTCTGTTTCATGACGCACCATGTGGAGAGAATATTTTTCTTGCACACAACCTTCCAGGCTGCTCTTGGCCAGAAAACTGGCCTGGGAGTGTCATGGTCTCTTCCCATGTTGTGTCCTATCTCCAGGAAACCTTCTTGCAGCACAGTTGTTGGCATCTGTCCCCAGGCCCTAAGGCTGAGCTCCAGCATGGACCTACTTGTAATAAGGGTGATAAACTTTCCTGCTGTCTGTGCTGAGCACCATGCATCATGACTCTTTTCTTAGGGTGGAAACCTGGGTTGAGAGCTTCAAGCCAGAAGAGCTGAGGGGAAAGGAGGGCTAGCCTTAATGAATGAATGTGACATTATTAAAGGTTTCTAAAGGCATACCGGTGTCTTTGCTGGTAACTGGCTCCATGCTGAATGGTGGCCTTAGCTTTATGCTTCGAAAAAAGTGGATCATGGCTCCAACCAGCTGAAAGCCATGCTACTGTTACTGGAGCCGAGAGTAAGGCCATTTCCTCGGCCATTTCCATAAAGAATTCATTTGAGAATAATGGGTCTTCTTGCTCGAAGCTTGTTGCAGGGCACTTGGCTAGCTGCCAAAAGCTCTGAGTTGAATCCCCAGCACTGCAGACAGAACAGTGTGAAAACCATTGGGAGGGGGTGGGGGGCAGGCCACAAAGTCTGCCTGTGGAACAATCGCTGCATCTGCCAGCCCCTTACTGCCATGAAGAATGTGGTCCCAGGATAACTGGGAGGAGGATCTTTGGAGAACAGTGTGTGTTCATATGTGTGTCTATTGGGGTATGCATGTATGTAGGTGCATGCATGTGGAGGCCAGAGGGGACAGCCTTGGGTGGCATCTTCGGAAGTGCCATCTCCTCTTTTGAGACAGTCTCCCATGGGCCTCATCAGCTAGACTGGCCAGTGAGCCTCAAGAAACTGCCTGTTTTAGTCTCTTCAGTGCCGGAATTCCAAGTGTACGTCACTGTACCTGTTAAGTTTATGTGGGTTTTAGGGGTCATATTTGGGTTCATGGTTGCAACAAGCACTTTACCAATTGAGCTATTTCTTTAGTCCCTCTTAGTTAATTTTTAATTTACTGTGTTTGTATGGTATGAGGGGGGAACTTGCATGCCATGTGCAGGTGTAGAAATCAGACAGCTCTATGGAGTCAGTTCTTTCCTTCCAACTCTGTGGGGTCCCAGGTCAAACATGAGGCATTACATTTTTTGTTGTTGTTTTGTTCTTTTGTTTTTTGAGACAGCGTTTCTCTGTGTAGCCTTGGCTGTCCTGGAACTTGCTCTGTAAATCAGGCTGGCCTCAAACTCACAGAGATCAGCCTACCTCTGCCTCCCAAGTGCTGGGATTAAAGTTGTGTGCCATCACTGCCTGCCTATCCTGAGTTTTGACAAGTGCTTTTTACCTGCTGAGACATCTCACTACCCTCTCCACCATTTTGAGTCTTTTGTTTTTAATGTTCTTTAGTGTGTGGCTGTTAGAGAATTTTCATTTTTTTAAGTTACATTCAATTACACGCATATGTGGGCACATACATGCGGCAGCAGTGGGAAAGTGAGAGGAAGTTTACAGGAGTTGTCTCTCCCTCCATCATGGAGGTCCATCAGGCTTTGCGGCAAGCGAGAGACTTTTTTGTTTTTTTCTTTTAGATATCTTTGTTTTACACATGTGGGTGTTTTGCATGCATATATGTGTGTACTCCCAGTGTATGCCTGGTACCTGCAAGGCCAGAGGTGGTACCAGTCTCCTGGAGCTGCAGCTGTGGGCTGCCACGTAGGTGCTGAGAATCAAACCACTGAGCCACCTCTCCAGTGAGCTCCCAATGCTCCTCACTGAGCCTTTACCAGGTCTCCATTTTTGTTTTCTTCACTCGGAAGACTCTACCTCTAGAATGCTGGGGTTACAGACATGTGCTACAATGCCCATATGTAAAGTGGAGGGGGAAGTTATGCCACCTCTGCCCCTGCTGGGTAGCTTTGAGGTACGTGAGGTAGGGCAGGCACAAGTAAAAAACGTGTTCTTTTTAAGGCTCAGTGTCCTCCACTCAAGGGTGTAGTGGACAGAATAGCCCTGCACCCTTACTCTCAAACTCATCTGACCCTGAGGTTCCAAGGTTTGAGAGGGGATTTCTATTTCAATTTTCCTGTGCTTTTTTGATCTTGTGTTTTGCACAGTGAGGTTTCAGATCTCCAATGATAAAAAGTCATTGCTGTAAAAACAGCATTTGAAGGTGTTTGTGCACATGCCTACAATTTGAACCCAGGACCTCACAAGCAAGTGCTTGTGCTCTACATCCCTAGCTCTTGAAAGTGTCTCACACCTGCCATCCTTGCCTTCCGAAGGCTGATGTAGGAAGATCATCATGAGTTCCCAGGCCTTTGCGGACTAGAATAAGTTCACAACAACCCACCTCAAAAAAATAAAACAAAACAAAACCTAGTTATGAATAGATGGGCCCTCCTTGGATATGCAGTGGGGGTTGAGGTAGAAAAGGGACAGAGGGAGCTGGTCATAGGTGATTGGCTGACAGCACTTGCTGCCCAAACTCTACAATCTGAGTTCTATTCCCAGAACCCATGTAAAGCTGAAAGGAGACCAGAGTCTACAAAATCATCCTCTGACCTCCACACACAGGCTATGATACACATTCCACACATTCACAGACATCCTGTAATGACAAAAAGGGACACATGTCTGGATGAGTGAGCTGAGACCAGCCTACTGCCAAGCCCTCACTGTTGCATGATCAGAATAGGTTATTGATGGGGGCTGCAGAGGGAGTCAAGGCACTTCCTTCTGCAGGAGAAGGGAGAAAGAAGGGACTCCCTGCCTATAACATTTATTTGGTCTCAGCTACTTTCTTCACCAGTCTCATGATGTGGGGCTTGAGGCCTCCATAAGGTCAAGGGCAGGCAGGAGATGGGATAGGGAGGGCAGCATATGTTCTTTAGGTACCGAATCTCTGACTGAGGTGTCCAGAGGCTCTGGGCCTACCACCAGGAAGCTATGCATACCCACAGCCCGAGCACCCTGGTAATCACAGAGGTAACTATCCCCAACATGAGCTGCCACTCCAGGTTCTACACAAGCCAGTCGCAAGGCCTCACGGAAAATCCGTGGGTCCGGTTTAGGGCAGCCCATAGCCTCAGAAGTCAAAACAAAATCAAAATGTTCTCGCAGGCCAAGGCCTGCTAGGATATCCTCTAGTCGCTGGTCAAAGTTGGAGACCACTGCCAGCCTCAGACCCCGCTTACGGCACCCCTTCAGGGTAGTCTCAGCCCCCTCCAACACCTGCCAGCTGCAAGGCCTGCTGAAGTCTTCATAGAGCTGGTGAGCAACTGGAGTCGTGGCCTGGGCATCCGAGACCCCTGCTAGATGGAAGGTGTGTAGGACCAACTCTGTCCACCACTGCCGGGAGGTAAGGCCACGGCTCAGGCCATAGTTGGGAAAGCTGTGGCTCTGAGCCTTGTATGCTTGCCTGAAGGCTTGTTCCAGGGCCGGGGCTTCCACCACCAGCCCATGGGCCCGGGCCTTGCTGGCATATTCCTCCCCAACAGGGCGGCGGAGCTTGATCAGGGTATCCTTCACATCCCATGTCAGTAGACGCGGCTGCAGCCGGTGCGCCATGGGATCAAGTTCACGGCCCCAGAATCAGGAACTAGTGAGCTGGTTCAGACCCCTCCTCCACAGGCTAACAGCGGCTTCCAGGTCAGAGTTGTAGGCTGACACAAGGCACTTTGGAAATGTGTCAGCACAGGATCCTAAAATGCAAATCAACAGGTGAGATAGACGCCGAGGCCCTGATGTCAGAGACTGGGTTTCCATTCTGAAATACTGAGTACATGGCCTGAGGAGTTACTCTCTGAACACCTGTGAATCTCCTGTGGAAGAGAAGCACGTGGGCACCAGCCTCACCAGATCTTGGGGCTGAAGCTGGAGTTCTGGCTGTTTTTTTTGTTAGAGTGCTTACCTCACATACATAAGCCTAGGTTTGATCCCATGACTGAATTAACTAAGCATAATGGCACATACCTGTAATCCCAGCAACTAGGAGAAGGAGGATGGAGGAGAATTGGAAGTTCAGTCATCTCTAGCTACATACCAAATTTGAGACTAGCCCAGGCTGAATCTGTCTCAGAAGAGAAAACCCAATGAAGATTTTTGGGCTAAATAAAATAATCTATGCATTCGTTTCAAAACACATTTCTGAGCATCTTATGAGCTCAGAAATGGTGAAGAAGGCAGGTTTCCACCCCCTGTAGCATGTCTAGGTATGAAATAATGATTTCTTTGTAGACAACAAACTATAAAACAAGCATAATGAAGTCAATATGTACCATGAGGCTATAACTCTGGATCCGAAGTTAGTCTTTGAACTCAGGGAATTTCCTTAGCAGGTGCAGTTCTTCAGGAGACCCATGAAAAGAACAGGAAATATAACACCTGCCTTGAGGCTGGGCAAAGTCTAGTGCTCAGGGTAGAGCTCAGGTACACAGCCTTGTAGGTCAAAGTCAGGATGCAGTTATGACTGCTATTATCTGTGTGTTGTGTTTTGTCTTCATGTATGTAAGTGAACCTCAGGCATGTCTGGTGCCTGTAGAGCCAGAAGGTGTCCAGAAGGTTCCAGTTCCTGGAATTGGAATTATAAATAGTTGTGAGCTGTCACTGTGGGTGCTGGGAACTAAACCTGGGTTCTCCAAAAGAGCAGTCAGTGCTCTTCACCTCTGAGTCAGCAATCCAGCCCATGACCCTGTTACAAGTATTAGAAAATGGCACCCAGAAATCTGGGCCCAGGGGTCTTTCCTGAGACTGATACTCCAAGGACCATTCATGGAGATAACCTAGAACCCCTACACAGATGTAGCCCATGGCAGCTTAGTACCCAAGTGGGTTCCCTAGTAATGGGAACAGGGTCTGTCTCTGACATGAACCCAGTGGCTGGCTCTTTTGATCATCAACCCCTGAGGGGGAGCAGCCTTACCAGCCCACAGAGGAAGACAATGTAGCCAGTCCTAATGGGACCTGATAGGCTAAGGTCAGAGGGAAGGGGAGGAGGATCTCCCCTATCAGTGGACTTGGAGAGGGGCATGGGAGGAGATGAGGGAGGGAGGGCGGGATTGGGAGGGAATGAGAGGGCTACAACTGGGATACAAAGTGAATAAACTGTAATTAATATAAAAAATTTAAAAAAGTGGCACCCATTCTTTGGGAAACCCATATCCACAATTGAGTATGCCTGACTTCCTCTGAGTGCTTCTTTTCCTTCTAACCCTCATGCTTAAGCCTATAATAAAACAATCAATAAAATTTCCAACTTGACTTCATTAAAAAACAAACAACAACAAAAAAAAAAACAACAACAAAAAAAACATTACAACCAGGCCATGGTGGTGCACGTCTTTGATCCAATCACTTGGGAGACAGAGTGAGAGGCAGGTGGATCTCTGAGTTTGAGGCCAGCCTGTCTGTCTACACATCGAGTTCCAGGTTAGCCACAGCTACACAGAGAAACCTCTCTCCTTCTACCTCCCACTCTGTCTAGGGAGGGGGGAGGAGAAAGCCTATCGTGGTGTCACACACCTTTGATCCCAGCACTCATAGAGGCAGGCAGATTGCTGTGAATTCTAGGCCAGCCAAAGCTACTTAGAGAAACCCTTTCTCTAAAAACCAAAAGCAAAAAAGAAGGAGGAGAAGGAGGAAGAAGAAGAGGGGAAGAAGAGAAGAAAAAGAAGAAGGATGATAATAGTAATGTCAAAAAAAGAGAAAGGTCTCCATAGACTGACCAGCCACATGGCTGGTGAGGGATGATGGAGCTGGTGAGGAGCAGTTACATGCCTAAGGTCACAGTGAGCCTGCAAACACAGCCTGTATCACAACCCAAATGTCCAGAGTCCACTGGGCTTTGCTTACCTATATTTATACTCTTTCAAAAATTGGATTATGTTGAGCCTGTGACAGGGTGGGATAGTCTGTTCCTACTTGCTTTGAGCTGCAACTTCTCCATCCTTCCTTGAGTTGGCCAAGAAGGCCAACCCAGGAGGGCGACCGACCCAAGACCCAGAATGCTCGTACTCTGCCTGGAGTCAGCGACCGACTGCAAGTTTGTCCCCAGACAGAGACAACTGCAAAACTGTGTCTTTGAATGTGGTGCCCGGGTTCGTTCAGAATGCAGCCAGACGTGTGCAGATAGAGGTGAGGAGGGGTGTGGGGGCGGGGCGCTTAGAGAAATGTGACAAAGGTCCATTTAAGTTAGCTTGAAATAGGGAGACAAAACTTTAAACGGGCTCTCACTGCGCAGAGGGGTAGGCTGAGGCCCAGCCGGGGCCTGTATCTGAAAGCCCTCGGGACGTCTCAGGCTCAGCTACCTCACAGGACAAA